TGTACTTATTGTCATTGCAGGCTTTAGATTTGTGGTTATAAAAGGTTCAAGGATAATTCCCTTACTATCTAACAGTGTAATTTAACTCAGTATGCTATTACAAACACAACCTAAAGATTCTTTTTTTTTCATCCTCCATTCTTTGTATGTCATAAATCATATTCTGTCCTCTTTGTCTATCCCTTGGCTGAGATTTAGCCACAGAATGCTTCCATCTATAGGAGTCCCTCCAACATGTACTGCAGAGGTGGTTTGTGGGAGGCAAATTCTCTCAGCTTTTGCTTATCTGAATATTGTTTAATCCCTCCTTCAAATTTACATGATAATGTAGCCAGGTAGAGTGTTCTCAGTTTAAGGTTCTTCTGCTTCATTGGATTAAATATATCATGGCACTCCCTTCTGGCTTGTAAGGTTTCTGTTGAGAAATCTGATGAGAGCCTGATGGGTTTTCCTTTGTATGTCATCTTTTTGCTCTCTCTAGCTGCTTTTCAAAGTCTGTCTTTATCCTTCACCTTTGCCATTTTGATTATTATGTCTTGATGTTGTATCCATTGGGTCCCTTTAGTTGGGAGATCTGTGCATCTCCATGGCTTGAGAGACTATCTCCTTTCCCAGATTAGGGAACTTTTCAGCAATTACCTCTGCAATGACACTTCCTATCTCCTTTTCTCTCTCTTCTTCTTCTGGTGCCCCTGTCATGCGAATATTGTTCTGTTTGGGTTGGTTACACAGTTCTCTCAATATTCTTTCATTCTTAGAGATTCTTTTTTCTCTGTGCCTCAGCTTCTTTCCATTCCTCTTCTCATTTCTATTCCATTTACCTTCTCTTCTACTACATGTAATCTGCTTTTAAATCCCTCCATTTTATGATTATTTCCAGATATGGAATTTCTTAATGATTGAATCTCCATCCTAAATTCTTTCCTGAGTTCTTGAATATTTTTCTGTATTTCCATAAGCATGTTTATGATTTTTATTTTGAACTCTCTTTCAGGAAGATTGGTCAGTTCAGTTTCATTTGTCCCTTTTTTGTGATTTGTGAGATTTTGGTCTGAATCATGTTCATTTGACATTTCATATTTCTGTATTGCCCTCTAGTGCCCAGAAGCTCCAGTGCCTGCATGGGGGTGGAAAGATCTGTTTTCTGATTCCTGCCTGTCATGTCTGACCGAGCACACAGGTGTAAGCCTCTGTGCTTTGCATCTCCAGCTGTTGTAGGCGGGGCCTTCCTCTGCCTGGCCTGATGCCAGTGTAAGTGACTGCAGGTTTATGAGCCAGTGCCGTCAGGCCAGGAAGAAGATGGTCCATCAGGCTGTGTATCACAGTGGGGGCCTCAGAGCTGAGTAGCCAGCCAGGGGGATGGAGCACCTGAAGCTCCTCAAAGTTCCAAACCTGCTGGGCAGAGTGCACCCAGGCAACTTTGTCCCCTTATCCCTTTTCCCACTCAGCAAGCTCTATGCAAACCCCGCCCCTTCAGCAGCCCTTTTGCTGCTAGAAAGCCTCTCAGACTGCCTGCCTTATGTCCCAGAGCGGCTGGGTGTGGATCCTGTCCTCCACAAATGGCCAGAATCTGAATCTCAAGCACTCTACCTGTCCCAGCTCCCCATCCTCCAGAGCACCACACAATGTAGGTTTCTGCTTACAAAGCAGATCTCCAGGGCCAGGTGTTCAACAGTCCCAGGCTTCCACCTCCCCTCCCCTCTCCATTTCCCTTCCTCCCACCAGTGAGCTGGGGTGGGGGAAGGGAGTGGTCCCACCGGATCAAGGCTTTTGTAGGTTACCCTCTTTGGTGAGGTCTACTCTGTTCATGAGGTCTGTATGCAGTCTGATGCAGCCTTCTTTCCTGTTGCTGTTTTAGGGTTAGTTGTATTAACTATATTCTCCCACTCTCTGTGGTTTTGAGAGGAGTTCTCTGTCTTACCTCTCACACTGCCATCTTGAATCAGGGGTCAATACATTCTTATTTATTCAGTTTTATGTTCTACTCTCTTGATAAAACACCCTCAAAATCCCATCCATGATTACTACTATAGGTACATGTAGGTTAATAGTTGCGCCTCCTTTGGGCTTATTCTCTTTCCTCCTTTAACAACACTAGGACATTCTCAGTTAATTTATACAAGGCTATAACTCTAATACTGGCTTGGAAGCAGGGAAAGGTGTAGAGTATTGTCCAAGGTAATATGGAAGATAGAAAGGTTATCTCTTGAACCCATGGAACTTGAGAACGAGATTTACCAGGGGAAAGGTGATGTTCCAGGTCATTTCTTTCCGTTGATTCTTATATGGTAGGGAAGGATTAGATGAGCTCAAAAGGCAAACCCCTTGATTTTCAAGGAGAATTTTGAGAAAAATTAAAGGATTCAGGAGTTACCAGGCCCAAAAAGTAAACCATAAATCAGTTCTAATTACTCTAGGTGGCTGAATGTTCTACAAGTAAGAAGTGGCTCTGGGCAAAGATTAAATTCCCAGGTACTGTTAGTAAATTGTGGCTTTAGGTAAAGATCTCAGAAATGAGAGTGTAAGGCCCTTTGTTGAAACCTCAGAAAGTTGAAGAGGAAACCTATAAGAGCCTCTCAAACTGTAAGGTCAGGCCTCTTAGACTGACTCTCTTTCAATTACATGAAAATGTTTCTAGGAATCTTAAGGGTGTTGTCCTACAATAAAGTGGCTTTTAGCTAGCCAGAGAAAGGCCTGTCTCACAACGATTTGTGAGTATGGCATTTTCCTCTGAGGAAACCTCAGTAAGATTCGTAAGACCATAAATTGTTAGAAAGAATTTTCATTGGCATCATCATTTTCAATGTCTGTAGGGGCAGTTAGAAAAATGTCCACAGCTGGGTTTCATTGCTGCTCGATTACTGTTATGTGCCTCACATTTTCCCTTTATGAATGAGAGTTTCTATTATGGTCATCCTATACTGTCTTACCATTATTTGTTGAGTATGTGGTGGGCAGATAACTTGACTCTTTTGTTCAAAGTTCTTCAGATTGTAAAGAACCATAATTTAGGAAACAAACCCAAGAATCTGCATTGATATCTTGACCTGATTTTGATAAACAAATGCATAATTTGTACTGATACAAAAATAGGATGAGATTTTAGGATTATTTGGAAGGAGAGCAGTTGTACTGTGTATTTGGGAACAATGTAATTAGTAGTCAGACTGGGACTGTGGTGGGTTAAGAATGTCTGCAAAATCTTTGATGCTCTTTCCAATGAGAGGTAGGGATTATTTCCTCTCTATGAATCTTGGTTGGCCTATTTTGACTAATAGGGTATGGTAAAAGTGATAATAAAAGGGTCCCTTGTGTTGTGTGTGAGATGACTGGCAACTTTTGCCTTGTTCTGTCATCCCCCATGTAAAAAGTCTGCCCTGAGGCATGTCTGCTGAAGAAGAACGCGATAGCCACATGGAGAAAGAGGAGTCAGAGATAAACAGGGACACACTTTGTCAGCCCCCAGCTATTCCATATACAGCTCTCCCAGACTTCCCAGCTGAGGTCTGAGACATTTGAACTGAGTGAATGCTTTCCTGCTGTGTCCTTCCCAATTTGTGACCCACAGAGTAATGCAGTTTATTTAAGTAAGTGTTTTATGGTTGTACATTTTGGGATGCTATTGTGTTATGCAAAAATAGATATCTAAAATCCATGTGCTCCTCTGTAGCACATAGCTTCCACACAGGTTGGATTACATAAAGAATTCTAATAAATAGAAATGATGTTCTGACAGTTCAAGTTAGATGGTGCCTTCTCCACACATTTTTTTTTGGTAAATGAAACTGGAATTAACTGAACAAGGAATGTAGAGTTGGAATACATAAGAAGCATGGAAATGAAGTGAGACCAAATTGGGTGTACACATGTGAACACAGAATTTGAACAATCAATACATTCACTCAAAATGTCCTTTAGTAGCCTTCTCTCTCTAAATAGTTCCAAAGTCTAGCACCTACCATCCCTTCAGGTCAAGCAGACACTTCTAGGAATAGAGAAAGTAAGGAATACAGTACCTCTTGGTTTTTAGCTTCAAAAATACTCCAGCAATTGTGATTTAATTGCTTTTATATTATATGAATTTAGTGATAGTAACAGAAACAAGACAAAATTCTTATGAATCTTCATATTTCCCCTGCATTTCATCCTGCTACATCACATTACCATCTGTAAAAATAAATAGAACAAAACAAAAAATTACAAAGCATTTTGATACTCATCATTTTCTATGATCAAAGGCTAAGGGGAATATAACATACTAATGAGATAGAACAGAATTCCTTAGATTTTTTTCAATCTGTCTCCACTTTTAACAATTTTACAGTAAATCTTTACAGTTTGTGCAGTGATTTATAAAACATCCCTGGAGATAGTTTCCCAAATTTTTAGGTAAACGATTGGCTCATTTATCTCTGTTAATTATTGCTTGCAACATCATTTGAAAGTACTTACATGACTCCCTGCTTGGAGAAAAAGAAATCATGACATACTGCTTAAAAATACCCTTGAACTCATATGTGAGTTGACATTTACTATTCTAATTGAGTAACCATGGCCCCATATTCAAAGTTGCAAAAGTAGCAGCATAATAGTTTTTTGCTATTAAATATAAAATGTGTTTAAGGAGTCACACTATAAATGACCTGTGTATTATCCAACTACCAAGTACATGGGCAATATAGACATATTTCTATATCTGATTTCATTCAAGAACACATAACAAGAATAAGAATACATAATAACAATACATAAAAAATCAGTTTTGTCAACTGATATCCCAAAACAAATTCAGTATAGGATTCCATGGCTGGTATCCCTTTTGTCAAAGTTTCTCTTACATTACCCAGGGATGCATTGTTTAATACAACTAGACTAGACTTTCCCTTTTATTTTTCTTTATCCAGTTCCATCTGTTATACATATTATAAACATTTTGAGGAGTGGTATAATTTCACATCAGCATTCTCATTGCCTGCTTATTTATACCTCAGAGTGGTTCTCTAGGTTTCTTCAAATTGGAGCCTCCTTCTGATCACCCTACTCAAGGCCCTTTTTACTTCCCTGTTTCTCAAAGTATAGATCAGTGGGTTTAGTACAGGTGTGACCACACTGTACATAATGGCAATGACCCGGTCCTGGTCCATGGAACTACTTGGGGCAGGATGAATGTAAGTAAAGACAACAGGGGCATACAAAAGAATAACTACCATGAAGTGGGAGGCGCAAGTGGACAGTGCTTTGTGAAGCATGCTGCAAGAATGGGTCTTGACAAAAAGATGGATGATAATGTAGAAATAGGAGAGAAGTGTTAAAAAGAATGTGCCCATGGCAATGGTCCCTGCAGCAGTATTGAGCAGCCTCTGGTTGAGCTCAGTGTTCCCACAGGCCAACTCCAGCAATGGCTTAACATCACAGAAGAAATAACGGATATGATTGGAACCACAGAAATTCAAGTGAGAGGTCATTATGGACTGCAGAAGGGCATGGAAAAAACCAATAACCCAGATAGTGATAGCTGTGTGGGTACAGCACTGATGATTTATGATGACAGTGTAACGAAGTGGTTTGCAGATAGCCACAAAGCGGTCAAAGGCCATCACTGCCAACAACATGGCCTCTGTGCTTCCCAGGAAGTGCAAGAAGTGAAGCTGGCTTATGCATCCCATGAAAGAAATTGCTTTGTGTGTAGAGAGGAAGTTCTCTAGCATCTTTGGCAGTGTCACTGTGGAGTAGCAGATGTCTAGACATGACAGGTTTCCCAGGAAGAAATACATAGGTGAATGGAGTCTTGGATCAGAGATGACAATCATCAGGATGACACCATTCCCAGCCACAATGATGAAATAAATTGCAAGGAAAACCACGAAGAGAAAAGGCTGTAGTACTTGGATGTCTGTCACTCCCAGTAGGAGAAATTCAGTGACTGAGGTGTGATTTGACATCACTTAAAAGAAAAGACAACGTAATATATGGAGTGCTGTCCCTGCTGGGAATCAGAGTCCTTCCAGTTGAGGATTTTTCTCACCTAGACAACATTGTTTTGAGGGAGACCATTGTTGTTTTACATAGTCCGAATATCAGATATATAGTATTTATACCATTAGGTAATTTAATATTAATGTTACATATTGATTGTGACCCAACCATTTTTTTCTTTATTAGATTTATCACTAATAGTTTTCTTCTAGTGATTCAGAGCATGTTGCCAGCCTACCATCTTTTCGGGGTGTGAACATATACCTTCTGGCATAACTTTCCTTCCATCTTCCTAAATCAGCTCTAACAGGGGGCAAATTTTTAAATATTCCACCTCACTGCTATCTCTTGACCTAGTGAGAAACTGCCTAAAGGGTTTTTACTTAAGAAAAATATGACAAGGAGAGAATAGTAAGAACTCTAAGGAAATATGTATAGAGATGCACAGATCAGAGTTATTCCTGTAAGAGTGAATCTTTCAATGTTTGGAAAACCTCTGAGAGGAGAAGAAAAAGGTTTGATGTGATTAGAATAAAAAATGAATTAACTGGAGAGCCCATGGGATTCTAGGCTTTATAGCTGGAGGCGATTTTCATACTTTATGTAACTTCTACTACACCTCCATGAAAGTCTGGCTTCAAGCAATTCAGACTAGGTTTCTTTGATAGCCATGTACATTTTGTATGTTGCTAAAATTTATCACTCCTGTTTAAGATAAAAATGTTATGCCAAATATCACTTTTGGTTCCCTGACCTACAAATCAAAGTATTAGTAAAAATTCATTTAGGGAAAGAATTCTTCCTAACATTTAAAAAGAATTAGCAACTAGGTTTGTCTTACTAAATTATTTATTTCACTGCAATATCAATAGAGATAACACATTTGGAGTATATCTAGAGAACCAGTCATGTTGAATTGATAATGAGATATGGTGATAAAAATGTAGGAAGTAAAGAGCCTTTATAATCCACAAATAAAATGATAGGTGACTGTTCAAAGTCCTAGATATTTAACTTTAATAGTGGCAAGCAGAGAGAAAATACAGGCAACTCCCCATCTGGAGTCCTATTTTATTCTCTTACCTAATTGAGTGTTCAGATTCACAGCTAAGGAAGCTTTCCACGTTTAAACTCCCAGTGATTATAAATAGTAGAAAAATATTTGAAGTGATAGTTCATATTGGGATTGCAACATAAGGTCTTCATCCACAATAACCTCTTCTCTTTCTGAAAATCTGCATGCCGTTTATAAGCCACATTTCTGGAGATACACAAATCCTGAGGGAGATTTTCTCCTGGGTCTGAGAAAGAGTGTTGCAAGAATAAACAGGATATCTCTCCATACCTGCAATGTTCAGGGGCTCCCCATGGGGAATTCCTTTCTTGAGTTCCATATTTTTTCATTGTTCCTATTTATTTTCCTTGCTATGTTGTATGGCCTCTTTAGTTTCAGAACCATGGACAGCTCAATTCTCAATGGCCTCATACGTTATCTGGCTTCTTAATTAAATTATTTTTTTCTTCCTTAGAAGGAGGCATGGATATACTTTCTCATCTTGAGAACTTCCCTGGAAAACCTTTGTGTACAACTTGGAATGAAATTTGTTAACACAGTTACAGAGTGGGGGTCAGTCACATCTCATTGGTCCATATGGAAAGATTATCTTTAATATTCTACTCATTTTATTACTGTGGTTGTAGGAAAAACAAACCAAGGTGAATAGAGACTTGTAATTTTGCTTTTTCCTTCCAATTCTGACTCCCCACTGTTGGTAATAACACAATACTTTTCTTTAATTTTGGGATCCCAAAGCTCATACGTCTCTCTGGGGGAAGAGGCAAGTCTCTCCAGTGTGTATCCTTGCTTCTTGCTGTATCCTTTAGGTAAAAATATTCCATCTGTTTCATCCAAGGAATATCTGTATATTCTCTGACATCTCTCCAGGCTTTCTAATAACAGTTACAAATGACATGTACTTTGTGGTCCATCTTCCTATTGAGGTTCAATTCTTGTTGCTTTGCAGAAATTCCATATATATTCATCACCTTAATAATTCCTTTTTCTGTGCTATGGATATAATACAAAGAAATCACATTTATTGTGTTCTCTCTGTGTAAGTTATTGTTCTGAGTTCCTCACATGTGAAATAATTGATAAATATAGAGGTGCATCTTTAAAGTGTAAAATGTTGTGATTTGATTTTCTTATACTTTTTTTGGTATCATTAATCTACCATTACATGAGGAACATTATATTTACTAGACTCCCCCCATCACGAAGTCCTTCCCACACACCCCATTACAATCACTGTGCATCAGCATAGTAAGATACTATAGAATCGCTACCATGATAATAATTAACATGTCCATCACCTCACATCTTAACTATTTTTTTTGTGTGTGGTGAGAATATGAAATCTAGTTTCAGCAACTTTCATGTATGCATTACTGTATTAACTATGTTCATCATTTAATTTAAAATAAGTCATTTTGTTTTGCAGTAAATTCTGAAATGTGGATTCACACTAAAGCTCTGTAGTTGTAGATAAACTGCAATGTAGTCTCCATTTTTGCAAAATACCACCCATCTCAATTTTCTCTACAATTTCTTCAGTTGTATAGAAATTCATCATTTTAATGAAGTCGTGACCCGTGACTTTCTTCTTTTCATTTTGGCTCTCTGAGGTGCTGTTTATAAACTATTCTCCCCATCAAGTCAAAATGAAATTGTCTCAAATATATGCTTCTATTATAAGGCAAGCTTCATGGGCATATGACCAATGCAGTCACAAAGGACTGTGCTCAGTAGGGCCCCATGGTTGAATTAATGCTTTGTTTTCACCATCTTGAATTATAAATAATTTATGAACAATGGACCCTGCATTTTTATTTTTCACGGATGCCCCTAATTTTGTAACTGGTCCTATTTTTTAGAGTTAGAATTTCATGTTTGCTGTTTGGAACTATAATCTTATAGAGATCATGTTTACATGCTGTAAGATAATCATCCAGAATTGGTTCTACTTTTCTGTGTGTAGTCAATTAGCATTTCCACAGATGTGTGATGCCATCTCTATAAAATTCCAAGTTTCCTCAAATAGATGGTCTACTCCTCCACCTTTTCCCCCCATTTAACAAGCTGCATTTCAATTGCTATTATTTTATTTAGAATGAGTTTAACCTTTACTTTTTTGTAAAAATGCTTTGAGGGAGTTTTGACAGCCCATTTCCCAAACAATTTCAGTGTTATAAGCAAGTTTGCTTATAGAAGAAAGACTTTAGGCCAGGACATGGTAATAAGTTAAAGTTGAGATCCATAGGTAAAGCCAAGATTCTTGAAAGATGATACTGTAGTGAAAGGGATGTGTGATAGAAAAAAAACTACCCATATACAGAGGGAGATGAGAACAGGCTCCGGAGATATACAAATCCATTTGCATGAACATATACTGTAGCTTAGGTTCTGAAATTAAAAAAAAAAAAACACTCCTGAGAAGAAATAACTGAATGCCTGTCCTCATATACCACTCGATAACTGTAGGAGCTCTCAAGGCAAGATTTAGCATAAACATTGTTCTCAGGATAGTTATATCCCTTGATCAACTGGCTGAAGTAAATACTTCTAAATATATACATTTGGAGATGTCATGAAGAATATTTAACAATCAATATAGAAAATAATTTATTATGTATCATATGGTCTTCTAACTGAACAAAAATATATGGTATGTAGAACTGTTTCCTGGATGATATGATTATGGGCATAAATTTAGTCTTCAAGCCATTTGGATGATTTCCAAATAATTTATTTCACTTAGAGATTTTCCCCTGTGATCATTTGTTTCTTATGACTGTTTCTAGGTGAATGGTGCTCTCTTTGTTCCATGACTTGACATAGGAAAGAGCAACAAACTTGCCAAACAAATTTCCTATTAAATTGATAGTCGTTAGGTTACTTATGGATAAATCACTATAGAATTTCTCCTGATATGATCAATACAGTTTTTGTAGCTGAAATCTTTACCAGCTTCTGGAAAACTGAAATTAATTCATTAACATTTTTCTACTTCTTATACTGTGAATGTTTTACATGTTCAACATCTTTATAATTAAAGAAGTCAGAAAATTAAGTGAAATGCCTCATTTAATGAATTGACTTAATTTCCTACTAAATTTTGTGTTTACAGGGTGGAAAAATTCTTGCGAATAGAATATGAAGTCAGCCAAATTGAAAGAGGCCTTCAGAGCTATATTTATTCTGCAATCAAATGAAAACAAGATTTGGCTTTTATGGTTTTAATGTGAAGACAACTCAGAAAAAATGTTATATTAACAAACTAGGATTTGCCAATTCACAAAAACCTTTTCTTTGTGCACACTCTGAAGTTGCTTCCAGATTGTCAAACAAAAGAAGGCTGATGAAGGAGCTTCAGTGAAGGCAGGTGAAGGAGCTTTAGTGCTCTGGAAATGGAGAGGTTGGTTATGTTTCCACTTGTACCACCAAGGTACGAGTGGAAGCTATTTCTTTGTCAAAGATGAAATTCATTTTGAAAAGTTGACAATTGTTTAAAGTTTTAAAGTGGACCTGAGGAACAGTAGCCTTGCCATTTCTTGTCAGTGTAGAACTGGGCGAAACTGCCGACAACTCTCGATGTATCAGCTCTTTTTTAAATTAATTTTTTTATTTTGTTATCATTAATCTACAATTACATGAAGAACATTATATTTACTAGGCTCTCCCCTACCCCAAGTCCCCCCCACAAACCCCATTACAGTCACTGTTCATCAGCATAGTAAGATGTTGTAGAATCACTACTTGTCTTCTCTGTGTTGCAAGGCCCTCCCCTTTCCCCCACCCCCCACATTGTACATGCTAATCATAATACCCCCTTTCTTCTTCCCTAACCTTATCCCTCCCTACCCTCCCATTCTCCCCAGTCTCTTTCCCTTTGGTAACTGTTAGTCC